CCGAGCGAACGCCCCCCCCCCCCCCCCCCCCCCCACTCACCCCCCCCCCCCCCCTCCCCCCCCCCCCCCCCCCACCCCGCCACAGGTCCGCGCCCCCGTGGCCGCCGTCGCCCCTCACGGCCTGACCGCCAAGACCACCACCCCCGCCGTGGCCTCGGTCATCAGCCGCATGATGTCGGAGTTCGTCCGCGAGAAGCCCCACCTGAACATCGGTACCATCGGTCACGTCGATCACGGCAAGACCTCCCTGACCGCCGCCATCACCCGCGTCCTGTCCAAGAAGGCCGGTGCCACCTTCCGCGCGTACGACCAGATCGACAACGCCCCGGAGGAGCGCGCCCGCGGTATCACCATCAACTCCTCCCACATCGAGTATGAGACCGCCAACCGCCACTACGCCCACGTCGACTGCCCGGGTCACGCGGATTACGTCAAGAACATGATTACCGGTGCCGCCCAGATGGACGGCGCCATCCTGGTCGTCGCCGCCACCGATGGTCAGATGCCCCAGACCCACGAGCACGTCCTGCTCGCGCGCCAGGTCGGCATCAACCGCCTCGTGGTCTTCGTCAACAAGGTCGACCAGGTCGACGAGGAGACCCTCGAGTACGTCGAGATGGAGATCCGTGAGGTACGCCCCCGGGCGCCCGGCGGCCGGGCGCAGTTTGCCCGCGCCCCGTGCCTTTTCCATCGGCCCCGGGTGTGTATATTGACCCGCCCTCTTCGCCTCCCCCCCTCCCCCCCCCCCCCCCCGTGCCCAGCTCCTCGGCACCTTCGGCTTCGAGGCCGACGAGACCCCCGTCATCTTCGGCTCCGCCCTGTGCGCCCTGGAGGAGCGCGAGGACAAGATCGGTAACGATGCCGTCCTCAAGCTCATGGATGCCGTCGACAACTGGATCCCCAACCCCGTCCGCGACCTGGACAAGCCCTTCCTCATGCCGATCGAGGGCACCTTCTCCATTCCCGGCCGTGGTACCGTCGTCACCGGCCGCGCCGAGCGCGGTATCATCAAGAAGGGTGATGAGGTGGAGATCATCGGCTACGGCAGCACCATCAAGACCACCGTCACCGGTATCGAGATGTTCAAGAAGCTCCTGGACCAGGGCCAGGCTGGTGACCAGATGGGCGCCCTCATCCGTGGTGTCAAGCGCGAGGACGTCACCCGCGGCATGGTCATGGCCGCCCCCGGCACCATCAAGTCCCACAAGAGCTTCGAGTCCCAGGTGTACATTCTCACCAAGGAGGAGGGTGGCCGCCACACCTCGTTCGTCAACAACTACCGCCCCCAGATCTTCTTCCGCACCAGTGACATCACCGCCACCGTCAAGCTCGAGCCGGTACGTTGCCCCTCGCGCGCGCGCCTCCCCCGGCCGTGGTGCCGGCGGCCCTGCCGTTGTTGTCCCGGCATATGCGCATGCCCGCCGCTGCTCTCTCTGACCCTTTCGCCGCGCGTTCCCCCCGCCCCGCCCCGCCCCTCCCGCCCACAGGGCCAGATGGTCGTCCCCGGTGACAACGTCAAGCTCTCCTTCGAGATGATCCACGAGGTCCCCATCGAGACCGGTCTGCGCTTCACCATCCGTGAGGGTGGCAAGACCGTCGGTACCGGTGTCGTCACCAACATCCTCGACTAAGTGCGCCTTCGCGGGGATGACTCGCGCGCGTGTGTGCCACGCGCACATCCGTGCCCCTTCTCCCTCTCTCTCCTCCCCTGTCGCCGCCCTGCCACCCGAGGGGGGCGTGTGCGTGTGAGGGTGTGTACGCGCACCCCTCCTCGCTCCAACGCGGCGGCGCACATACACACACACACACCCGCCAGAGCCCCTGCCTACCTTCCTTTCCAAGTGCGCGAGGCCGCTCCCCCCCCCCCCCTCCGTTGGTGGCCCATCCTGCCGACGCCAGGGAGCAGTGGGACCACGCGCCATTCTCTTCGCGAGTAAATGGTGGGGGCGAGGAGAGAGGCCTCACCAGAGGGGGAGAAGAGCAAGAGAGAGTGACTGCGCGAGCAAGACCATATATATCCCAATACACAACATACACCTACTTTGCGCGCGTGCCCCATGTTGCCCCTCGTGTTGCCGCCACGCGGGGGCGCACACACATACATCCAACAGAGCGGGGGAAAAAAAGTGCGGCGCCCCGTGGAGAGGGGGCCCCACCCGTGCGATCGTCTGTGCGTGTGTGTATGACTTGCATGTATGTCTAGGCCTGTCGCGCTGGACCGTGCGCGCGCGTCTGCGGCATGGCACCCCGCCGCACACATATATATATATTTTCAAATAAACGCCCTCGTGGGAGGGGGACGGCAGGGAAGAGCAGGGGCAAGAGAGGGGAGATATGCTAGAGAGAGAGAGAGAGAGAGAGAGAGAGAGAGAGAGAGGGAGGGGGGGGAAGGGCCCCGGCCAAGGACACCCCTCCCGGCCTCCTGCCACCCGCCTCAACACGCCGCGCAGGCGCGTGCACACACACACACACACACACACACACACTCACGCAGGCAAGCTGGCCCCTGCCAAAATTACGAGGGAATCACCGCGGCCGGGGCGGCGGCGGCGGCGGCGGCGGCGGCGCTCGCAAGCGCACACTGGCCGCCGGAGGCCGCCGTGGCCGCCAGCCGCAACGACGTCGAATGGCACCCGTAGAAGTACCCCAGCAGCAGGCTCAGCACACAGACCACGGCCAGCATCAGGACCTCCCGGCCCATGGACAGGGCCAGGTGGCCGGAGTGCTTCTGCAGGACCGCCTCAAGCACCGACAGGTCCATGCCGACGGAGGCCCCCGTCGGCCCATGGGGGGACATGGCGTGCGGCGGTAGGCCGGCACCGGCCAGCCCCGGCGCCTCGGCCATGGCAGGGCCCCCCACCCCACCATCGAGCAGGTACTTGCGATCGGCTGGGCCACTGGCGGGCCGGCCGGCGCCCGGCGGAAGCAGGGCACCGGCCGCCGCCGCGTGGCCCGCCGTGGCCGGCTGCTCCGGCCGGCCGAGAGCCCCATGCTCGGCCACGGCCGCCGCCGTGTTCACCACGGTCGACAGCAGGTGGCAGGTAATCAGGGCCGAACTGATGTCATTCGCCTGGAAGGCGTCCACCAGCCGGCGGATGGTCAGGTCCGGCAGGTCCGGCCCCGGCAAGATGAGGCTCGACGCCGGGGAGGGATCTTGCAACAGGGCCGGCGGGGCCATGGATCCCGGGCCGGCGGTGGCCGCCCCCGAGCTCAGGAACTCAAGCAGCCGCGCGTCCGCCTGGTTCCAGAAGGCGTACACCTCCTTGGAGGGGGTGTTGGCCGGGTTGAAGGCCGCCGGCGCCGGGCACGCCCGGAGAACCAGCCGACCCACGGCGCTCCCGTGCTTCAGCCACTGCGCGGGCGGCGTGCACGCGTGCCGACATTGATATTGATATCGAACCGGCCAGCCCCGAAGAGACAGCGACATGGTGACAGAGGCATGGGCGGTGAGAAACGAAGAGGGGCGAGAGGGATGGCGAAGCAAGAAAACATGCACATGCACACAATCGCGCACGCACACACACACACACGCACCTCAACTGTACACACAGTGGTCGACCCGGCGGCCAGGATCCCCTGACTCGGGCGAATCGACAACTCCGGGGCATTGGCGTTGGACGCCGCGGCGAGCAGGCCCGAAAAGCAGTCAAACTGGCGCGCGCACGCGCACGCACGCATCAAGGAAAGGCGGCGGTGTCAGTGGCGCGGCCATGGCGAAGCAAGCGGCACCGGGCAGAGAGGGCAGGGCGGGCCAGTCGCAAAGCAAGCACCCAGGCCCCCGCAGGGCCCCCCCCCCCCCCCCCTGAAGTGTCAGGGCTTCTGTGCACCGCGCCACACGCCCACCCACGTGGCGATGACCAGGCCACAAACACGTACGCGGAAAATGAGCGGGGCAGAGTGGGTGTTCTTCAAGGTCAGGGTTGCTTGGGGGGGATTGGTCGAGGGGAACTTCGTGACGGGGCGCTTGAAAGACACGACCCCGGCCGGGCTCAGCTGCCGGGGAGGCAGGGCGTAGGGCGGAGCAGGGCAGGACAAGCAGAGAGAGAGAGAGGGAGGGAGGGAGGGGCGGGGGGAGGAACTGCATGAGGAGAAGAGCACACGCCACAGGGGGGGGGCGAAAGGGGACAGGCTGCGCGAAAAAGCGAGGGAGGGACGGAGAAAGAAGAACACCACACGCACCTGGAAGTGGCCATTCGACTGGTCCCCCAGTCCCAGCCAGGCGGCCGAGGTGGGCGGCACTTGGTCGCCGGCCGCCAGGCCGTCGGGCGCGGCGAGGGCCTCCGACCCGGCCGCGCCGGCCGCCGCATCCGAGGCCGGAGGCGCCTCGGCCGAGGAGAGCCGAGGGCGCGCGACAGCCCGGCGCGTGACCACCGGCGCGGTAGCCGGCGAGCTGATGCCCGCCACGGCCGGGGCCGACTTGGCCGGGGTCCGCGGCCCGGAGCCGGCCGCGGCCTCGTGCGACGCGGTGGCCGGCGCGGCCGCCGCCGCGGCCGCCGCCGCGGCCTTGCGAGTCCGCCTCCCGGCGTCACCCATCTGCGAGGGCTAGGCAGCCGGAAAGACAGCGCCCCGGCGCGACCAAGGAAAAAGGGATGGGGAAAAGAAAAAACCCCGACGAGGGACCCCAGCAGGCCGGTCAGTCAGGGGCCGAGACAAAAAGACAACCGCTTCCCCCCCCCCCCCCCCCCCCCCGGGGGTGCACTTCCTCGCCCAAACGCACCACCGCATCTACCAGG